CCTGCCTCAGCCTCCCGAGTAGCTGGGATTACAGGTGTGTACCACCGTGTCCGGGTAATTTTTTGTAGTTTTAGTAGAGAAGAGGTTTCACCATGTTGGCAATGCTAGTCTTGAACTCCTGACCTCAGGTGATCTGCCTGCCTCGGCCTCCCAAAGTGCTGGGGTTACAGGCATGAGCCACTGCACCCAGTCTCTTTCTTTTTCACTGAGTCTTGCTCTGTTGCTCAGGCTGGAGTGCAGTGGCACAATCTCAGTTCACTGCAATCTTTGCCTCCCAGGCTCAAGTGATTCTCTTGCATCAGCCCCCTGAGTAGCTGGGATTATAGGCACCCACCACTGCACCCAGCTAATTTTTGTATTTTTAGTAGAGTAGAGACAGAGGTTTCACCATGTTGACCAGGCTAGTCTTGAGCTCCTGACCTCAGGTGATCCGCCTGCCTTGGCCTCCCAAAGTGCTGGGGTTACAGGCATATGCCACTATGCACAGCCTCTTTTTTTTTTTTTTTTTTTTAAGACAAGGTCTCACTCTTGTCGCCCAGGCTGGAGTGCAGTGGTGCAATCAAGGCTCATGCAGCCTTGACCTTCTGGGCTCAGGTGACCTTCCCACCTCAGCCTCTCAGGTAGCTGGACTACAGGTGTGCAACACCACTCCTGGCTAATTTCTTGCCTTTTTTTTTTTTTTTTTAGATACGGGGTTTTGCCATGTTGCTCAGGCTGGTTTCAAACTCCTGAGCTCGAGCCATCCACCCACTTCAGGCTCCCACAGTGCTGGGATTATAGGCATGAGCCACTGCATCTGGCCTCTTCTTTCTTCTTTTTAGGTCTTAGCTCAATGTCATCTTAGAAGAGCTTTCTGACACCACACTGTAAATTACCCCTCAGTTCCTCTGTGCCACAGCATGCTGGGTCTTCCCTTCACTGCACACAGTGCACGCTCTTTTTAGAGACTTATTTTACTTTTTGTTACGTCTTCCCACAACTTCAGTGAGCAGGGTCTTTGTCTGCCTTGTTCAGTTTTCCCCAGCACCCAGAAAAGCCCCTGGCGCATGTAGGTGTCATAAGTATTTGTCACATGCAAAAATGAGGTGCCAGAGCTGGTATTTGAGCTCAGTCTTTGTGGCTCCAAAACTTCAGCCCTTTCTCATACCTTTTTGCTCCCAGAACAGCAATCTGGTGTGGGTGGCAAGGGAACCCCTTGACAGTCAGATTTTGCTTCTGCAATCATTTTGGAAGTTCCATTGGGCAATTCCTTTCCTCTCTCTGAGCCTCAGTTTACCCATCTGTTCTAAGATGCAATATTGATGCTCTGAGCCACAGGGACTATGCCAGGGAAGGGAACAGAAGCAGATAGGTCTATGTCCAGCAGGGGGCGCCATGGGCCCTTTCAACTTCGCACTGGCGGGCGGCCTGGCTGTCCAGTTCTGAGTGTCAGGGTGCCTTCTCGTCCACACACACTACCATCTCCCGTCACTGCTACCAAATACCAGGGAGGGATTTCTATTTTTTCTCCCATGATTTTTACCTTTTAAAGTTGTGGCGGTATTTTTTTTTTTTTTTTTTTTCAAAACAGAATCTCTGCCACCCAGACAGGAGTGCAATGGCGCGATCTCAGCTCACTGCAACCTCTGCCTCCCGGGTTCAATTGATTTTCCTACCTCAACCCCCGAGTGGCTGGGATTACAGGCGCCTACCACCACGCTCGGCTAATTTTTTGTATTTTTAGTGGAGACGGGGTTTCACCATGTTGGCCAGGCTGCTGTCGAACTCCTAACCTCAGGTGATCCACCCACCTCGGCCTCCCAAAGTGTTGGGATTACAGGCATGAGCCACCGTGCCTGGCCTAGAATAGATTTAGACTTACAGAAAAGTTGCGAAGATCATACGAAGTTCGCATAGACCCCACAGCCGTTTTCCCGTTATCAACATTTTACACTTACATGGTACATTTGTCACAATTAATGAGTCAGTTGATACGGTATTATTAATTGAAGGCCATACTTTACTCAGGCTTCCTCACTACTTTGCGTCCTTTTTCTGCTCTAGTATACTATATTCTATCTCATCATTATGTTACCTCAAGTTTCTCAGATTTCCCTTTTTGTTTTGTTTTGTTTTTGAGGCGGGGTCTTGCTCTGTCACCCAGGCTAGAGTGCAATGGTGTGACCATAGCTTATTGCAGTCTGTAACTTCTGGGCTTAAGCAATCCTCCCACTTTAGCCTCCCAAGTAGCTAGAATTATAGGGACACACCACCATGCCCAGCTAATTTTTGTTTGTAGAGATTGGGTCTTGCTTTGTTGCCCAGGCTGGTATTGAACTCGTGGGCTCAGGTCATCCTCCCACCTCATCCTCGTCCTCCCAAAGTTCTGGGATTATAGGCATGAGCCACCACAATTGCCTGGCCAGACTTTCCTTTTTTTTTTTTTTTTTTTGAGACGGAGTTTCGCTCTTGTTACCCAGGCTGGAGTGCAATGGCGTGATCTCGGCTCACCGCAACCTCCGCCTCCTGGGTTCAGGCAATTCTCCTGCCTCAGCCTCCTGAGTAGCTGGGATTTCAGGCATGCGCCAATATGCCCAGCTAATTTTTTGTATTTTTTTTTAGTAGAGACGGGGTTTCACCATGTTGACCTGGATGGTCTTGATCTCTTGACCTCGTGATCCATCCGCCTCGGCCTCCCAAAGTGCTGGGATTACAGGCGTGAGCCACCGCGCCCGGCCTCCTTTTTTTCTTTTTTTAATGTCCCCAGGGAGGTTTTTAGATGGGACTCCAATGTGTGTCTTGAGCTCATGGTCACTTAAGATTCCCTCTGGGAAACTCAGGAACACATTTTTATGGTAGAAACTGACGACTCTTAATGGAATTCTTGGATTGAGATTCAGAAGTAGTTCTCTCAGCCAGGTGGAGTGCTGTGCACCTGTAATCCCATCACTTTGGGAGGATGAGGTGGGAGGATCACTTGAGCCCAGGAGTTTGAGTCCAGCCTGGGTAATATAGTGAGACCTTGTCTCAAAAGAAAGAAAGAAGAAGGAGAGAAGGAAAAAAAGAGAGAAAGAAGAAAGAAAGAAAGAAAGAAATTTTTCAATAAATATAGTAAGACCCTGTCTCAAAAGAAGAAAGAAAGAAAGAGAAAGAACAAAAGAAAGGAGAAAGAAAAAGAAAGGAAGGAAGGAAGATTCCTTTCAAGAAGACATTTTGAGTATGCCTGCTATATGCCAGTCCTGTGCTCGGTGCCAGGGTCCTCCTGGGGCTGACAGCCCAGTTATTTTGTCCAAGTTGGAGAACATGCACAAGGAAGGCAGAGGGCAAAATTCCCCGCTCCTTTTCCACTCAAGGACCCAACCAAGGTGGAAAGGTGGTGACGGGTCCTCGGGAGTATCTTCCTTCCCATCGAACTCTCGGAAGGGCATGGCCCCAGAGTTGGAGGATTTGGAATAAAAGGAGGCTTAGGGGCTTTCTCAGGGTTATGTCCTCAGTTCCTGGAACTCAGCCCCTGTACCTTACTGGTAAGTAAGGTACAGGAAAGATTGGGGCATGGAGTTTCTTTCCTTTCTTTGAGAAAGAAATGTTTTTTAAGCCTCTGAGGTCACCACTGCCTTCTAATTCAATTTGATAACTTAAGTCCATTTTGCACTTCTCAGCTTATAAATGGACACCATCAAGTTCTAACAGCATCTTTGGGAGATAAGTGTCATATTTGTGAGTCCCACTTCATTTGTGGAGAAACTGAGCCTCAAGTCCTATTTGGCAAATAATTGGTGGAGGTGAGATTTGAATCCAGGGTTCGCTCTGTTGCCCAGGCTGGAGTACAGTGGTGTGATCCTGGCTCACTGCAACCTCTGCCTCCCAGGCTCAAGAGATCCTCCTGCCTCAGCCTCTCATGTAGCTGGGACTACAAGTGTGCACCACATCCAGCTAATTTTTGTATTTTGTAAAGACAGGGTTTCACCATGTTGCCCAGGCTAATCTCAAATTTCTGGGCTCAAGAAATCTTCCTGCCTTGGCCTCCCAAAGTGCTGGGATTGCAGGCACGAGCCACTGCTCCCAGCCCATCTCTATTTTAATTTGCCTTCACTCTATCCTGTGGCTGTTTGGCCTTCAAGCTTGGAGGAAAACAGCATTTTTGGAAACCTTATTCTCTTGACCTACTGAATTATATTCTGTTCAGCTCGACTTTACAGACCTGGAGGGGCAAAAGGAGGGAGTTTCTCACCCCATGCTTGGCAGAGAGGCCCCTGCTCCAGCCCACACTTGCCCTTCTTGAGTAATCTGGGATGGGATGATTTGAGGTGGTGGTTCACTGGTTCTTGCAGCAGAGAAAACAGCCCAGGGCTGGGATGCAGGTGCTCTGGGTATGTTGCCCACCCACCCATGCTGGGAGCAAATAACTTTACCTGTGGTCCTCAGTTTCTTCGTCAGTGAGATGGGCTAATATGCCTGCTCGAGAGGCTTTGCTGCAGCAAATAAGATATGTAAACAAGTGTGTCAGCCGAAAGCCCCGTGCAAGGATTACAGACATGTTTATGATTTCCAATGAGTTGATCCCGGGCCCCACAAGGAAGTTGCTTCCCTGAAGGATCAGGTGAAGAAATAATCTTTAAGCAGAAGCTTCAAGCCCATGTCCAGAGCCAATATCAAGTTGAATCCTCTTGTCCACCTCTAAGCCCTCTGTTCCGTCCCACACCACGAGCATTGTAAGCCTGGCACAGGGAAAAGATGCCAATATTCTCTAGTACTGGACGTCAAGCACCTTGAGGATAAGACATAACATTTGTTTCAGCCCTAAACTTTCCAGCCTCTAGCACAGTATGGGCCACACAAAGTACATGTAGATGTTGAGTGAAAGAATGAATGAATGGGTCAAATGAATTCACAAGTAGATGAAGAAATGCTGGGGCCATAAACAGGTCCAGCTTTTACCTTGTGACCCCCAGACTCCCATCCAAGCCTCCTGAACTCATCCTTCACCCTTCCTTTTACACAGCAGTGCATGACACCAGAGGTACCAAAAAGGCAAACTGGACTTTATTATAAAGTTGGCTACAAAGTCACCGCAGCACCACGAGGTGGCCATCTGGGCAGGCCCAGGCAGTCTGGCAGCCGGTTGAGTCCCGCACCAGGTACACGCACTCGTGCAAGCACATGTGTGACGGCAGGTCTGCCTTCCTCCATCGGAAAGGAACGTAGCGTCTCTTCGCACCCCCCACCCCAGGCGCGGGGTGCAAAAGTCACAGGAAGGGCCGCCAGGGCGGCAGAGTCCATCGGAATTGAAATCCCGTTACTGGTGTGTAGAGAATTCTACGTGGGTGTCAAGAGCCCCTCAGGGCACGGGCTGGCCCGGGTGGGCCCTGCCTTTCCCCCACCAAGGCCTAGAGGTGGCTTGGCCCCTAGGAGTGGAGAACTGGCCCAGGCCAATGGGGCAACGCGGCAGGGAAGTGAGACTCCCCCATTCTCCGCTTGAAATCCCATTCAAGGAAACTCACTACGAGTGAATACAGATTGAAATGGAAACTGGGATCGCTGGAAGTCTCTTGATTTTAAAAAGAAGCTCCCCTCCCTTGCCCTCCCACCTCCCCCCGCAAATCCTGCAGGGCCTGGGGAATCATATATATCCCCCTCTGGCCCCCAGAATCCCCCCAACAGTCCCGGGGGGGGTGGAGAGCGGCTCCACGTCTTGATGACAATATGCCATACTTGACGACGTTAAGTCACAGACTTATTCAAAACGTTGGTTCCCCTCCACTTCCATCTGCAGGGAAAGATAGAGAGAGAGCACAATCAGTTAGACCAATTAGGACAGAGGATCCTGGGGCTGAGAATGTGTTGGTATTAGTACGGGCTTCAAAGATGTTGGCTCAATGACAAAACGATCCCCAGAGACTCAGTAGATTAGGGAGCAATTTGGATGGACGGAGTGAAACTGAGGCTGTAGTCAGGGGCTGAGCCTCATCTTTCTTTTACCAACTTCTATAAACTCTTGCTCTTTATCCCCTGCAGGGGGCTAGGATACTAGGATAGAGCTCTAGTCCCTCTTCCATCAGTTTGTTTTGTGCCCTAAGGAGTTTCCTTAAGTCTGGGGCTTTGATTATTTTCATCTGTAAAATGGGGTGGTGAAGAGTGATCTAGTTAAGCACAAGCCCTCCTTAAGGATTCTCTAGCACTCTATCCCACAGCCCCAACTCCTGCCAGGTCTACTTGTTCAAAACTTAAGTCTTTCACTTTTTCCTTATCCCCACGGCTACTCTTTGCGCAGCAGGTAATTTCATCCCTTAATAAAATCGAGGTACAGAGAGGGGAAATGATTCACCTAATTCTACCCAGCATTTCCTTGGCAGGAGAGGGTCTTGGGTTCTTGGACCTTTTGGCTGGACTCACCTTCATGGAAGCTGTCTTGAACTTGGCTCTGGAGTTGATGCAACTCATCAGTAAACCCATCATAGGGGAATGCTGAGACACCTGTCTCAAAGGCGGTTTCATATGTGGCCAGGTCCTCCAGGAAGCTGTGGTCTTCTGGGGACAGGTTGTTGCAAGGCGATGGGGCCCCTCCTGGGCCCTCTGCCTCAGGATCCCCAGAACCCCATTCCTCATTGGGGTCTGGGGTAGAGAGATCCATGAAGATGTCTTCCACGGGCGTCTCTTCCAGGAACATGTTATCAGGGTCAGCCAGGAAGTCCAACTCCTGGCATTTCCAGGGTTTCAGGTCCAGGCTGAGCACAGGGGGGCCTGCCCCCGACAGGGACAGGTTGGAGTCCAGGGGCTCCAGTCCTCCAAGTGGCTCTAGTCCACCAGTGCCAGCCTCAGCTGAGAAGGGTCTGTCCATGCCTTGAGCCAATTGGCTAATCTGCTGAATGAGACGGTCTATCTCGTTCTGTTCCTTTTCAGAGTAGTGGAAGAAACTCTGCTTGACTGGAGAGGCCTCAGGTGTGAGCAGGCCTTCAGGCACCAGGGGGACATCCACAGAGAGGGGGCCCCGGAGCTGGGCTAGGGCCAAGAGCGTGCAGTCCCCATTACCAGGGCTGCTAGGACTTGGGGGCAACTTCTCATAGAGAAAACTGCATCCCTCCTGGGCGAAGTAAGTCTTGGTAGGATTGGGGCTCAGTTGCTCTGGGAACGTTTGGCTGGGGCTGTCCAGGTGTGCTTGGAATGCTGTGCTGGGAGGAGTCAGCTGTTCATGGGCAGGGCTGCCCACAGGCTCTGGAAAGGTGGCTGTGCTGGGAAGCAGCTGGTCTGGGAAGGTAGAGGTGCAGGGAGTCAACTGGTCTTCGTAGCTTCTGGCTGAGGTTTCAGTCAGCTGGCCTTGCAGTGGGCTAGTTAGTGGATCTGGGAAGGTTGCACTGCTGGGTGTCAACTGATCAGAGAAGGTCGCAGTGCTTGGAGTCAGCTGTTCTTGAAGAGTGCTGGATGGGGCGGGCAAGTGGGTCTGGAAGGGCTCATGGAGGCTGAAGAGGAAGGCACAGCCTCCTGGCTGGTGGGGCGTGTAGGGTGGAGTGCATACGAGATCCTTGCTCAGTTCTGCTTGGAGAGAAGGCTCAGGCCCAGAAGGGAATGCCAAGTAACTGAAGTCCAGTTCTTTGGAGGGTCGGGGAAGCTCTTCTGATGCGGAGACAACACTCAGTTCAGGAGCACTGGGGAAGCTAGTGCTTCTGGGAGCCCCCAAGGCTGCGGTGAAGAGTGGGTTAGTGCTGGAGCACTGTTCCTGGGAGAGAATGTTCTCAGGGAATGAGGGCAGCATGGTCGGAGTGCCCAGGACATAAGCTGCCTGGTTGTCTTCAGAGTTCAACTGCTGGCGGAGACTCCAGGCTTCCATGTCACTGGAGAGGAGAGAAGAGGCAGCTGGTAAGGGTCTCATGTCCATTTCCAGAGTAGTTCCCTGATTTGTGTTTCCTCCATGCCGACCTCAGCTGCCTGCTAAACCCCTGGCTTGTGGCTTACCTGATTGGGTAGTTATTGGCAGTAATGGGGCCCTCTGGACCTTCTGAGTATAGCAGGCAGTAAATCCATGCCCAGCCTCCAGTCTTGGCCTGTAGTCTCACCACCATCTCTGCCTGAATATCTCCACTCTCAGCCACTGGGGAGAAAGAAGATGCAGAGTTAGGATGCCCACCAGGCAACTCTACCTACTCCCCACCTTTGCTCACTTCTCCACTGAATTAAGAAGGCATGACATCCTCTCCTCTGACTACCCTCACCTGCACCACTCAGCTCTCTACCTTGACCTCACCACTCAGAGTCCCCCAGTTCTGCTTCGATTATTGCCTTGAATCCTCACCCTCATGTTCACCCTATAGCATCCAAAACTGTTGGCTTCTGTTATCTCCCCAGCATCACTCTTGACTACAGCTCATTCTTTGTCTGGTCTCCCATGCCTTTCTCAGCTTGTTCTCTTGTCCCCAGCCTCTCTGGACACTCACACAGGCGGTAGTGTTGAGCAGAAGCGTGGGCCAGGTCCTCGGGGTGCAGCAGTCCATACCATGATTTACAAAGCAGTTCACTGCGCTCAAAGCCCAGGTAGATTAGGACACTGGGAAGGTGGAAAGGGTGAGGTCAGCTTTCTGTTTTCCTTGCTTGATACCCATGCATCTCACTCCCTCCCAGATCCTCTGCCCCCCTAAACCCCATCCTCCCTGCCCCTGACTCCAGAATCTAGGGTCCCCTCATCTCTGGCCTGCCTTTGTCTTGGAATCTGAACACTCCAGGCTTACCTCTCAGAGATGTCCAGTAGGGCCAGGTCTTTAGCATGACGGCTCTGGAACATGGCCAGGAAGAGTGAGGCAGGACCAGGGCCAGGGCCAGGGCGGGGTCTCGGCTCCAGTGGGGCACAGAAAGCTGTGAACACGGGGTTTCCTGCCCAGTAGGCCCCAGGTGGGTGAGCATGGAATCGGCCTCGAATAAGCACTAGTTTGTTGCCTGCACTCTGGCGCCTGAGGGACTTGGAGGTGTTGAAGCGGCAGCGGAAGAGGCGATCTAGATGGGTGAAGAAAAAAACCGATAAGAGGGTGAGTGGCTGAGCTAGACAGTGGATGCAGGGGAGAAGGGAAGCAAGTGGGAAAACTGGACCGAGGAGGGAAGAAGGGAGTCCTTACCAGTGTCCAGGGCAGAGGGCAGAGTGAGTTGCTGGCGCACAGTGAGGTGGTCAGCTGGGTCAATGATGTCGTAGATGCTGTCACCCTGGGCAACTAGGTCCACCTGGAGAAAGGAAAAGAAGAGATGACCATTAGTGAGAACAGCGGGAGCCAATCTTTGATCTATGGTATCTTGCAGGGTATAACCTCTTCCTCCATAGTAATTCCCAGTTCCTCAGGAGTGGAAGGCTCATGGTGCCCCCTTCATGCCCAGCCTCAGCTGAAATGACCCTCAGCACTCACCATGGAGTGGCCCAGATGCTCGCTCACACTCTCAGACAGGTAGAGCAACTTCCCCTCGGCTGTGAACACAAGCAGAAAGCCAGGTAGTGCCGCTACGATGTCCTCAAGCTCCTGAGCTGAGAGAAGCCCCGTGGGGCCTGCCAGAGGAGTGCCTGTAGGGCGAGAAGACATGGTGAGTCAGGAGTAAGACTGGGAGGCAAAGCAGAAGTGAGGAAGGCATGGCCTGAGTTTCAGAGAATCCAGAGGAATTTCTTATGGACCTGCCTCTGCAAACACCTGTTGACCCGCTGCCCGCAGCTCTTGGCCAGGGAACCTGTTGCTGTATCTCCATAGCCCGCAAGCCCTCGACTTCTAAACGGGGTCGGCGCCTCCTCGGCTCTAAATTTCTGAACCGTGGACAGAGCTCCCAAGGGGCTCTGAATCTCAGAACCGCGGACAGAGTTCCAAAGCGGACTGTGGGTTCAGAACCGTGGACAGCTCCCTGCTCGGCCGAAGCGGCCGTCAGCACCACAGGCAGCACCCCACGAAGGCGACAGGAAATCCCTTTCAGCACCGCGGACAGGGCTACGCTTCCCTAGACTCAGGCCGCTCCATCCCTGCAACTTCCCGGGCTTCCCTCCCCAGCTCCCCGAGCGCCTCTGCACCGGCGGGCCCCGAGGCCGCTCTGTCCTGTCTCTTCTCCGCTCCTCTAAGGCCCCCGGTGTTAGAGATACCTTCCAGGCTCTCTAACTCTCATTCAGAACTAAGGTGAGGTTTGGAGGGAGCTCAGGAGGAAAAATAGACAGTCCCGAATCTCCCCAGCTCGCCAGCACGCTGCCCTAGACATGCAGCAGCCCCAGCGGGTTCCCCAGATCCAGGGTCTCCGGCTCCCGGCAGCTCGGATCTCCGGTAGTCCCAGCATGCTCACCTCCAGAGAAGAAGACGCCCTTGCGAGTGTAGATGCAGGCGAGGCTCATGATGTGCAGGTAGGACAGCCGGACCTTGTCCGCTTCGGCCAGCGGCAGCAGCTCCTTGAGGTTCCGGATCTCGGCGTTGATCTGGTCCCGGCGCGCCTTGGAGGCGCCCTTGGTGGAGCGGTACATGACCGGCGGCTGCGGAGCTTCCTGCTCGGGTGCCCGAGCACCTGCGCTCCGGTCCCGACGCACCGGCGGCTTCCTCCTCCGTGCTTCCCCGTCTCTCGCTCAGGCTCGCTTTCTGCTCTCCTGGGCTCCGCTCGGCTGCGCTGCCCCCCTCGCCTGCCTCACGCCTCCTTATATAGCTCCTGCCAGGCGTGGGGGGCTCGTTTTAGAGCTGGGGGGCGGGAGAGCGGGAGGCTGGGCTAAGCGAGCTGCAGCGGGAGCCGCTGACTGGGGAGGGGGGCTCCTCCTCCCGCCCGGCTTCCGACGTCATCCCATGACGTAGAATGAGAGCGGGAGGGGGGCGAGCGAGGGGGGAGCAGGAGGCTGCAGAGGGGGCCGAGCCTGGCGGGAGCTGAGCGGAGAGGCAGGCGCCGCGTTAGGAAAGCTTGAATGGGGTGTGGGGACCCAGGCGTCCGAACGCTTTCAGTTGAGGGAAGCGACAGGGCCAGGGTTAGGGCGGCCTGAAGCCCCCGGCAGGAGTCTGCAGAGGGCAGAGAGGGGCCGGCACTGACACTAATTTTTCTGAGGAGTTGAGGGAATAGGGAGGAACAGGGCTGTCTACAAATCCCCCTCGTTACTTGCCAGACAAGGTCACGTTCACATGCAGGGAAGGAGGACTTTCCTTGGCCTCCGTGGGACAGGTCACAGCTGGGGTTCCTCTCTGGGGACTACTCAACCTGGGATTCCCTTGGCCATTTTCAGAAAAACAAATCCCCTCCCCCTCTCCTCAAACCGGGCTTTGGCGGTTTATCAGGGGTGTTCATGGGGGTCTAAGTCCCTAGGATGGGTGGAAAGGGGGTCCGGTGGGAAGGGACCAGCTGAGTTTGGCGCTGATCCTGTTTTCTCACAGCCACGTATAGAAAGCAACACCAGCGCTAGGCTGCAGTGATTCTTGGTTTCCCTGTCAGCTAATTAACCTTAGCTGCTGAAGGGGGAAACTGAGGCAGGGACGCAGGGGACAGCGAGGACCTGGATCTGCACTTAGGCATCCCTTCCCCCCTCCCCCACCCCGTTACTGGCCCCCAGGCGAGCGCTTCCCCCCGCCCTGCTGCCAGCCTCGGTCTCCCCGCGGGCCGGGGGCGGGGGCGGGGCCGGGGGAATCCCAGCTCCATATTAGGACAGGAATCCTCCGGCGGCTGCCGCGGCTGCGGCGGCGGCGGGCGGGGCCTGACTGCCTCCGCACAGCTCCGGAGGGCTCCCCGCCCTGCCTAGGCGGGCAAGATGGGGGAGCAGCCGAGAAGCGAGGGGCCGCGCCGGACCCTCCGTGACCCCTGCAGCTACCGGGGACCCTGTAACTTCGCCAGGCTCCCTCTACCTCTCTCCACATCTGTGGCGCTAGGGTTGCTGGCTCTGCCTCTCCACCTTCAACTCTCCATCTCTCACCTTCGTTTCTTTTTCTCCTAGCGTGCTTGGTGGTGGGCTCAGCTTAGTGCCCCGGCCCCTGAAGATTCCCCTTTCTTTCTTCTCCGTATCCTGTCACTTTTGCCCTATCCGATACTCCCCCTTCTTTCTCTTTTCACCACAGACGATTGCTTTCTACAGGGGCGAGGAGATGCTGTTCTTACCTGGGGATTCAATAATGCAAGAAGCAAGTGGGCTAGCGAATGTTCTTATCTGAAATCTCATCTGATGGAGTAGCTGTGTGTGCATGGAATCACTTAAGGGGCTGGAAATCAGGCCACTTAAAAATTGGGGTTGTGGGACTGGGAAGTCCCAGTCACACAGGAAGCCTGGAGATGAACCCTGACATCCAAAAGGACAGTTTGAGACCAGGGAATTCCCCACTCCTCGTGGAAAGGGGTGGTAGCACGAGAGGTAGAGTGGGAGGAGAGGCAGTCGAGGAGACATATGTCTTAGAAGAGGGGTACAAAGCTATGGAGACCCTATCCTGGTATCTCATGCATTTGGCAGAGGTTGGGGCCATCCTGCGGTAAGCATCACAACTGAAGTGGAGGGAATGGTGTCCATGTGTCTGTCTGCCACTGTCTGTAATACTATTGACCCGGATGACAGAGAGATGGTTCCTTCTGGACATGGGTGTGTGTTGCTTCTTTCATTTCGATCTGACCTCTGATGTGCCCATCCATGCCTCTCTCAAGCTTCTATTTGAACAACCCCTTGATCTTTGGGTCCCCTTCTGTATGAAATTCCAGGGGAATTGTTCCGTGTTCTTCACCCACTGATGCTAAAGCTGCCTGGGAGACATTCTGAGTGTCCTTCTCCACAATCAGAGGAGTCTACTGGGTGGGTCTTGGCCTCCAAAAATCTGAGCGCATCTGCGCTGAAGGAATGGGGCTCTGGCAGCTGTCCGTGGTGCTGAAAGAGTCACCATGGAAGTGAGATAGGTTACAGTTTGCCTGGGACATCAAGGTAGGTCTTGGGTCCCCACAGGCCTCAGAGTGAGCCTCCCCTTTGACTGTCCACTTATTCTCTGTGGATGAATGTGAGGGGGCTTGCGGGGGGCCAAGATTCCTGGGCTCTAGTAGGAGTGAAGTAAGCAAGAGAGGAAAACTGGGCTCAAGGGAAGAGCCGCTGGCTTTTTCCAGAATGGAATAGAAAGAAGCACTTTGGAAGGGAAGAAGGGTCTAGAAAGGGACAAGGGAGGGGGTAGAGAAGAGCTCATCCTAGTTCGCCCACTCTGATTCAAGTTGAGAAGCTCTATATGCCCCGATGTCTCCTCTCCCTAGGCCAGCTCCCACTCCCCTTGCCTCCCACCTCCATGAAGCTATTTTTAACTGTGCAGAACCAAAAATAGCTTGGCAGCAGCTTCAGGCCGTGGGAGAGGAGCTATTTATATCACCAGTGACGGTTCCGAAATAGCAAGCAGGAGGAGGGGGGTGGCTGGCACACTAGAGAGCTCCTGGCCGCTGCTAAAAATACTGGCAGTGTGAGTCATCCTGGCCTGGCTGAGTCACCCCACTCTCTCCCCCAAGTGGCAGGCAGCAGCAGCAGAACAAACTAAGAATTAGAAGCCTGAGATGGGGGAGGCATCAGAGCCTGCTGTCCGTGGGAAACTGGGCAAGGGAATGAATTGGGAGAGGGGCTTTGGGGTGAGCGTGTAGAAGGAATGGGAGAGCACAGCCTCTCAGCCAAACCTACTGGGCAAGCGTGCAGTGTCCCCAGCCAGCTATGCACTACTGCTCAGGGATGCTTGGGCAATGGAAGGAAAAGAGCCAGACTCTGTGTGTGTGTGTTCACTTGACTGAGAGTGTGTTTGTATGTCCTGTGTGTCTGCCTCTAAACCTGTCTGAACGTGGGTGTATGTCTTTATCCGTGTATCTCTTTGCATGTGTCTTTGTAGCTGCAAGTCTCTGCCCCTGTATGTGTTTACCTATGTCTGCATCTTTGCCTGTCTTTTTTTTTTAAGTCTCCAACTTCCCATGCAATTCTATGTTTGTTCCTGTGTGTATTTATGTCTACAACTTTCCATATGCCTCTCTGTCGGTGTCTGTGTTTGTGTCCATATCTGAGTCTGCTCTGGGTCTTTCTCTCAGCATCTGATGGTGTGGTGGGATGTGCATGCATCCCCAGACTCAATATCGTTTCTGTTGCCCTCTCTGATGTCACTTGTTGGGGCTCCTGCACCATATTTGTCTTGCTCACCTCTTTCTACTTTCTACCTAGCATCTTCCCCTCTTTCCAAGAACCCCCTAGCCATTTGTGAAGCTCTCTCTGTTGCATGCAATCTCTAGTAAAAACATGGAGGAAAAGAGCCCCACATGACCTCTCCCTTTTTTCTTGAATCATCCTGAATTCTCCCTGGCCTGCAGGAGTAAGTGGTTTTCCATCACTCCATATTTGGAGAGCTGAGAGAAGAGAAGGGCTTTCTTTAGTTCCAAAAAAAAAAAAAATTCCTGGTGTGGGCACAGGCATGCGTAGCGCGCATGCACACACACACAGGCGCACATACACATGCACGCACACACACACAACTGAGAGAATGAGAGAGAAAAAAATATCAAGGTCCCTTCTTTACTGAGACGAGCTCGCATCTGTTGCCATAGCAACCCACCCACTCTTTCCCCGAAAAATCACCAAGAAGAGGTGATGGCATCGAGGAGGGATTGGCTGATTCTTTTCTTTATTATTTTTTCCGAAAAAGGGTTTTTGTAACAAAAACAGGCTGTGAGAGCTCTTGCCCGTCTTGCATAGCTTTATTGGGAACCCGGGGGAGGGGCATCACCCCCCAGCCTTTATCAGAGAAGAGGAGGTGTATCTTTTCTAGAGCTTTGGAGGAGGATGACCTCCTGGGAAGGACTTGAAGGGTGGATGAGGAATCTGCTTCTTCAGAACCAGCATGGAGACTCCTGGATACTAGTCTGGACATTTGGAGCAAGGATCTTGACAGAGGGCTGTCAAAGTGTTATCTTGTCTTGCTCTGGACAAATGTGTCTATGAGAAAGAGAAAGAAGGGGGAAGGGAAGGGAAGTGGGGAGAGATAGAAAGAATATGAATGAGGTCGGGCGCGGTGGCTCACGCCTATAATCCTAGCACTGTGGGAGGTCGAGGCGGATGGATCACGAGGTCAACAGATCAAGACCATCCTGGTCAACATGGTGAAACGCTGTCTCTACTAAAAATACAAAAATTAGCTGGGCATGGTGGCGCGAGCCTGTAGTCCCAGCTACTCGAGAGACTGAGGTAGGAGAATTGCTTGAACCCAGGAGGCGGAGGTTGCGGTGAGCCAAGATCATGCCACTGCACTCCAGCCTGGGTAACAAGAGCGAAACTCCGTCTCAAAAAGAAAAAGAAAGAAAGAAAGAATATGAATGAATGAATTACTGGATAGGGCTTCAGAGATGACAATATGCCAAAGGATGCAAGCTTGCAGTAGTGGTCAGACCAGGCAGGTGGGCAAGATGGTGCCAGAAAGATGTACTGATACCATTGGTGCAAGTCACCAATGAGACCACAGCGGCAACTACTTAACGTGTGGCCATAGGTGAATGTTCCAGAGGAGCACTGAAGCCCATGTTTCGTAGTTCTATTCCCATCCAGAGTCTCAAAGTCCTCCTCCAAAGCCTGGCCACCAGCCACTGCAGTCACATCACTCTCTCAAGTGAACTGTTGCCTCCTGCCAAATGACTGGATGGTGGAAAGAAAGGGATTCCTTGTTTTCTTCCGTGCTTGGCTTGCTACAGAAATGGGGTCACTTGTGGCTGGAGCTTGGAAAGACAGATGAAGAATCTGACCCTGGAGAGAGATACCTTCCTTTCTGACAGGCTGCTGCCACCCTTAGCAGACAAGGGCATGGCCAGGTGAAGTTGGGGTGGGCAGTGGGTGCAGCTCCACTTAGCATCACACAGAGGGATGAAAAGACTTCAGATTTGCTCTGACCTGTTAGACACATTCTCATGACAAATCTGACTGATATCATTATTGTTATTTATACACAGAGTGCAGTGGCCTGATGATAGCTCACTGCCACCTCAAACCTCTGGGCTAAAATAATCCTCTGTGCCAGCCTCTTGAGTAGCTGGAACTACAGGCATAAATCACTACACCCGGATAATTTAAACTTTTTTTCGGCCCAGGCTGGTCTTGAACTCCTGACCTCAAGCAATCCTCCCACCTTGGCCTCCAAAAGTGCTGAAGTTACAGGTGTGAGCCATGGCACCCAGCCTTGACTGATATTATGATGCTTATTTGATAGATGGTGAAACAAGGGACCAGAGATGGAGAATGATTTAATCAAAGTCACACAGCAAGTCTCTGGCAATGCTGAGCCTCATCCCTGGCTCCTGCTCCCAACCTAGGCTTGCTCTCTTGCACCACGTGGTAGGGCTTAGGGCTAGGGTTTACAAATTATGGACTGCAAATCTAGCGACATCTAGCCTGCTGCCTCTTTTTGTAAATAAAGTTTTATTGGAATACAGTCACATCCATTCATTTACTCATTGTCTATGGCTGTTTTCACCTTACAATGGAAGAGCTGAGTAGTTGCAATAGAGACCATATGGTTCAAAAAGCCCTAAGTACTTTTTGACCCCTTTTCACTAACTGACCCTTTA